CCAATTTTAAAACAAAAAAAAATTTTTTTAAGGTGCTGGAGATCGAACCCAGGGCCTTCTGAATGAATGAAGGCAAGAAACCTACCACTGAGCTACTCTCCAGCCCCAAATAAGTTTTTAATGACTCTCAAGTGTTCAGAGCAGACAGAGCACCTACTTGGGTATTCCTAGTATCGAATACAAAGCCTTTCGCCTATTAAGACAATGAAATGTTAAATGATGAATACATACAAAATAAACTGACAGGCTCTGTGTTCAACGTAGTATTAAGCATACATACACAAAATAACAAAAGTGCTGTTGATCAGGGCTCAATATGTACATCAAGGGTACAGAACGCCTGCCAGGCAAAAATAAGGCTCTAGGTTCAATCCTCAGCTCTGGTGGTTAAAAAAAAAAGAAGTGTAGCCTAAAATTATTTCCAGTATGAAAACTGAGCCAGGCACAATGATACAAGCCTATATATCCCAGTACTCAGGGAGGCTGAGGCAGGAAGACTGTAAATTCAATCCCAGCCTGGCCAACTCAGCAAGACTCTGTCTCAAAATAAAAAATAAAAAGGCTGGGCTAGGGGCTGGGGATTTAGCTCAGAGGCATAAGTGCCTGCCTTGCAAGTGCAAGGCTGTGAGTTTGATTCCTGATACCGAAAAGAAAAAAGAAATTGAAACCGAGTGATTCTAATTTTAAACTGGGGATTTAAGTTCAATCACCAGCACCCCTCCCCCAATAATGGTAACAATAATAATAATAATAATAATAAATTTCTAGTTCTTTCTATACTGATTTATAGGCTTTAAGCAGTCCACACAAAATCTCATCAAATTTTCCTATCGAGTTTAACAAGCTATTCTAAAAGGCTGGGGCTGCAGTTCAATCTGAAGGTCCAGGGTTCAATCCCCCGTATTGGGAAGAAGGACTTACAAAAAAACAAACCTTAAACTGCAAAATTAAAAGCTCTGAGACTCCATGGCCTTCCTTAAGAAACTTGCAAGAGCCAGAGGATTGGGGGGGTCTTTTTGAGACAGGGTCTCACTATGCAGTTCAGGCTGGCCTTGAGCTCACTTTGTAGCACAAGCTGTTCTGAAACTTGCAAATGATTTCCTTGCTCAGCCTCCCAAATGCGGGTATTACAGGAATGTGCCACCAACCCCTGGCTTCAGAGGACTTTTTTTCTTTTAAGGCAAAAAATGGTTAGGGAATTGCCCACAGACACAATTTATTTTAACAAATGCATGCACACATATACAAACTTTCTAGATGCCCATGAAAGAGTAAGGCAATAAGTCAATTCAAAATAAAAAGAATACGTATAGATGGACAAAATTGCTTCTAGAGTCTCTTGGCCCTGAATGTTCAGAAAAGTCACCCACATATAGCAATACCAAACCTTTTAGGGTTTTCAATGACAGCAGCCTGCTGTGGCATGTACGCCAAGGGTTCATCATAATACGAATTGCTAGGTAAAATGACACTTCCAGCCTGCATACTTGATGCTTGAAGTGGGAGGCACACAATCAGAAAGCTGCATAGTGGCCTGTATGGAAGCTAACCAGCCCTTCCTGACTTCTTGTGCTGCCCTGCTCCCTAAAATACTTAAGAATGCACAGTCACAAGTCTGTAGCAAATGTGCATACATTTTGAGTCTTCTAACTAAATGAGGTTGGTGACCCATAGATATGAGCTCATATCTATGGGTCACCAACAAAATATTATCCTTGCAGGGAAATAAGTGACGCAGGAAACAGACTGCAACTTGCAGAGCATCTCCGAAAGACTCCCTAACTTACTCTTCCTCCCATGCCTCAAGTACTGTGAGGACCCAACTATTCTATGCATGATAACCAACTATTATTAGTGACTGCTGAGTAATCCATAGTAATCATATCACCAAGAACGCAGTGTGCAATTACTAATTCTACTTTTTCTTTTCTTGCTTTTATACATTTAAGGACCCAACTGAGACTCAAAGAACAGAGTACTAGGCAAAAACAGCGCAGTCCTGCTACCAAGTGCAAACTGCTCTGTGTGGGGTTCCCCTACTCCTGTTGTGCTGGGCAGTACACCACAAGGTGTATATGGCTACGGTTTCATCAATAGGTCGTGAGGCACTGACCGAGTCTGTCAAAAGGACAATTCAAAGATTAGGAGCCTGACCCAAAGTTGCAAAGCTCTATGGCAAAGCCAAGATTCCAATAGAGTCTTCTAACCTCAACCTGGTACTTTTTACACTAAATGTGTATCACAATGTTGGCCAAAAATACTTACCTGGGAATATGAACAACTCAGAGGGTGCTCTGCAGAATATGCTGACTTCACTAACGGTGGTCACTAATAAGCACGACACAGTAAGAAAATGAGGACGAGCAGGACTCAAAAACAGTTGCAAAGCAAATGGGAAGTTTTACTTCTGGAAGGGAAAAGCTACAACCTCACAATCCACCCACCTCACTCCCCACCCTGCCCCAAAAAGGCTGCAGAGAAATGTCGTCTTCCTCTTGACTGACAGTGCTAAAGGACAAAGCTCTAGCTTCTTTATGCCCCAATTCCAGCACCAGCTGAAAGAAGCAGCCATACATGGGCCTCCTCCTGAGAGAACAGCGGGCCCGAGTCCCTGGGCTGCTGCAGGCTGGGACCCCTCTAACCGCCTTTGATCTGTGAGAAGAATGGGGCTAAGCACAATGTTACCAGCCTTTTTCTTTTTCCTTTTCTGCTCTCCACAGCTTTTTCATCACATTCATTTAATCCCTTTCATGTGCCTTCAGATTTTATTTGTGTGTCCCTCCAAACTGAGTTTTATTTTTGGTAGTATTGGCTTATATTTATGAAGAAAGAAAAAAAAAAACCTTTTTGTCTGTGGATAAATTGTGAAAAGATGAGCTGGGGATATAGCTCAGTGCACAATGCCTGCCTGGCAAGCACAAGGTACTGAGTTTCATTTCCAGTACCCAAAAGAAAAAAAAAGTGAAAAGAAAAACCAGAACAAAAAGTTAACCGTTATCCTCAAACTCCCACCATTCTATGACATACCTGAATGTGCATAAGTGACAGTGCTCTAATTCTGGTAAGGAGAGAGGCACGAACGGAGCTCCACTGTGTGCTATGGGAGGTGATCTGAGTGGTGACCCAAGCTGCTCCTGCGGTGAGCAACCAGCACACCATGCTGTGAATGCTGTGGGATTCCTGAGCCATGGCAGGGGCACAAGTGTGAACAACAGATGCCGGCAGATGTCAGACTTGACAAGGATTTACTGAGCACCTACTAGGCCAGATCATTCCACAACAAAGTGACCGCTTATCACCTGCTGTCTGAAAAAATCCAACTGTCAAGTCCCAAAAGGGTGCTTATTTGAAATTAATAAAAAAAAAACAGACTTCAGATGAAAGGTTCACAACAGAGCTATCGATTTTGATAAGAATGTTAAAAGACGATAACGCAGCAGAAAAAAAATAAGGGAGCATGCTAGTCATACATGAAGGTAACAGAACCTCAAGAACCAGTACCATGGCAGCCCAGCAGCGACAGCCAGGCCTCACATGACACACCTCTGGAGACATCTCCTGGAAGCCTTCCTGAGTTAGCTCACCTGGCTCTCCTTGAACCACCTACAAAACGCTACGCTGAAGGTGGGAGTGGTGGCATACAAATATGACCCCAGGACTCTGGGAGGTTGGCGGAGAATCATTTGTTCAAGTCCAGCCCAGGCAATTCAGTGGGATTCTGCCTCCAAAATGGAAAATAAAAAGATCTGGAGACACAGCCCATCAAAAAGGCCTCGGGTCCATGTCAGCACAGGATAGCAGTAAGAACGAATGAGCTAAACTGAGATGAAAGTTACGAATCAAGATAGCATTGCTAAACGCGCAAATATTCATCTTATTATGTCAAAACACGCTGACTCCGTTATATATAGTGTTCAAATTCCATAAAATTATTTTCCTCAACCACTGAGACAAGTGGAAAGAGAAAGGAAACAATAAGCAAAGCAGAGTGAGGAGCTCTGTTATTCCATCAACCTCGAGAGCCCGGCACCTCTGCACTGACTTGCATGTGCAGCAAGCAGGCTTCTGATCAGGAAGCCACCTCCTCCAAAGACACAGGACAGCTGACCAGACACGCAGGACTCCCCCAACTTAAGTCTACCTAAGCACATCCCACCTTCCACAATCCACCAGCAGGCCATATCTGGGGCCTGCCACCTGTCTTCTGCCTCCTTTCCTCACAGTGCGCTGCCTGTGGTCCCTGTACTGTGGTGGCCAGCTGGCCAGCCGCAGCCTGCACAGGAGCTGCTTCTGGTGAGGAGCGTGCCCCACCTGCCTGCAGTGAAAGCTGCCCTGTGTCTGCACTGAAATATTTCCCTACCTCTGCCTGCCTAAGAGGTTCAGGATCTTTTAGTGAACAGTGTGAGCACAGGAAAATAGAAATCACTGTCCCTCGTTGCAGTTAAGCTCAAAGCTGAGAAGTCCCATTGACTTTTAAAAAACCAATCTTTAATAGTTACTTTCTGTCTAAAAGTGTATCTTCAACCCCCATCCCAGCATTTTAGCAAGAAATATTTCCGGCATACAGTAAACTCAAAGTAGATAAATGAAAACCCCAATGAATTCTGCCTGGATTCTCAACTCATGAACATGCCACCACATTTGGGTCATCTATTTTTGTACAATCTTTTGTTGCAGGGCGGGGTTCCAACTCACAAAGCAGGCTGCAGACCACTAGCGCACTTCGCCCTGAACACTCTGGCAAGCAATACTGGATAGTACCTTTCAAGGAACCAATTAGACAGTAGTAAAGTAAGAGGATAAACATAATTCATTAGAAGAAAAACAAAGGGAGAGAAAAGGCCAGATTAATGAAGAAGCCAGCAACCTCTGAAACCCCAATAATCCACAACCAACAAGAGAGAGGAAGCCCAATGAGGCTGGACAGATTGGATTTTGTGCCTGCCTCCCATACTCCACAATTTCTACACGTGACACAGAGATGTGTCTCCAGAGCTTACCTAAGGGCAGCAGCATGGTACGTGTCAACATAGTCAGAAATGAAGAGTTCTCGGTTCTTGATAACTGGGTCTGTAATGACAAGTTCCCTTCCAGAGTCTGTCAAAAAATTTAAAAAACATTTTTTTAATCAACTAAGAGGAAATTAAAACTGAGTTTCCTAAATAGGTAAGAAAGTTTTGCAAACCTTTTTTCTTTCCAAATATACCTCTTGATAAAGTAAGTATGATAAACAACCAGACCTAAAGTGCACCATAAGTGTACAAAACAGGGCAAAGGAGTAACAGCATGAATAAGAACAGTGTCTGTAGTTTTTGACAAGGGATTAAATATATCATTGGGTGTTTATTACATCCTTTACCAAATCCTCACATTTTGCTAAAATGCATCAATAAGACAAAGTTGCTAGTGGCAATATATGCGTGTGATCTCAGCACTCAGCAGGCTGAGGCAGGTGGTTCACCAAGAGATCCTGGTCAAGTGGGGAGTGGTGGGACACACCTGTAATGCCAGCATTCAGGAGCCTGGGCTACAAAGAGAGTTCAAGACCAAGCTGAATTGCTTAGTGACACCCTACCTCACAAGCAAAAAACATAAAGAGACTTCAAAACCAGTGAGCGCCAAACAGCAAATGCTTATTGAAGACACTATTTGTATACATTTAGAGGTTTCAGTTAAATAAAAACTAAAATTAAGAAGCTGGGCACTGTGGCCCAGCTATTCAGGAGACTAAGACAGGAGGACTTCAATTTTCAGACAGATCTAGGCAACTTAGCAAGACCTTTCCCAAAACAAACTCACCCACCAAGACAAAGATGCGGGCTGGCGCGGTAGGTCAGCATTCCCTAAGCCACGGTCAACCCCCAGGCACAAGGAGAGGACAGAGATAAGAGTGGAGACAGAGGTGCAGTAATAGTCTTTTGGGGACTCTGTGTGTGTGTGTGTGTGTGTGTGTGTGTGTGTGTGTGTGTGTGCGCGCGCGCGTGAGACCATGAGCTCCCTGGGGATTATACCTCACCTTCACGCTGACCTATCACCTTCAGTCCTGTTTTCAGACAGGATCTCACTACGTCGTTAAATTGCCAGGGTAGGCTCATACCTGCAAACCTGCCTCAGCCTCCTAAGCATCCTGAGAGTACAGTCATGTACTATCACACCTAGGCAGTAATGTTCTCATTTACAAAAACCTCTTTCGGAGATAATTTATCATAAAAGGTATCTCCATTTAATAGACATTTTTTTTTTTAATAAAAAACTTTACAAACCGAAGGTTTGTAAGAAAGGAATCAGAAGGACACACTTACCATTTTCATTATGCCGATCCTGAACCAAATGCTGGTACACAGAATCTGGGACTTCAGACTGACGGTAGTACCATTTGACGTTCATGAGTAGATGGTCCCTCTTACTCTGAAAAGGAAAATCTAACAGCATTAGGGACAGGATTTCAGTTCCCACAAGTTCATATCATACTCATGATTAAAAGTGTCTGTACACAAATATTCTGGCCGACAGAAAAAATTGCAACTAGCAAGACTGCAACAATGACAGGGTCTGATTTTTTCCAAACGTCCCAGCCTCAGTACCCCTCTGGCCCTACCCATCAACATGGTTTATGTCAAAACATGAGACTAACCTTAAAGCTAGGAATCATCTCCTGTATTTTATTGACAAATTCAGACATTACATTTTTAAAATATTAACTACACAGAGTTGGGCATGGTGACACATCCCTGTAGTCCAGCACTCGGGTGGCTAAGGCTGGAGGATCACCACGAGTTTGAGACCAACCTGGGCTACATAGTAAGTGCAAGGCTAGCCTAAACTTCATAGCAAGACCCTGTCTCAAAAACCAATAGAAAAAAAAAATTACCTATACAGTACAACAAAAACCCTTAATTATCTTGCTACTGAAACTTATAAAAGAGCAACAAGCTAAAAAGAACTTACCAGCAAGACCTGACATGCCGCCACCTCCTCTCCGAGGTTATTGTATCACAGATCCTAGACTTCCCTTCACTTTGCTGCCTGCCACACAACTTTGCAGTTACTGCCATGCACCAAAGTAACAGAGCAGGCTACGGTGACGATGGCAGGTGAGGGAGGTACCAGGACACAGGAAACCCATTCTTACTTACTTTTGCATGGCCACTGCTAAGTAACTACTGGTGAACATGAAGAACTCTACACTGATCACTATCTCATAAACGCCTATCTAAAGGAGTGAGCTTCACTCCCAGTTCATCCAAAAACCAAGGGATAAAATATTGTCCACCCTTCCATCTGAAGGCCATGGGACCACAGTGTAACCCACAACCTCCATGCACCCGGTCCTGGGACAGCTTAACAGGAAGTGCACTTAGGTGTCCCAAGGCCTCATAGGACACTTTTCAGCCTGGGTGGGGCTGTGCAGTCCTCCCAGGGAGAACACAGCACCACTCTTCTTCTTTCTTTCTGTTTTGTTTTTTGAGACTGGGTCTCGCTATGTAGTTCAGGTTGGTCTTGAACTCACTATGTAGTTCAGGCTGGCCTCAAACTCACAGCGATTCTCCCGCCTCAGCCTCCCAAGTGCTGGGGTTACAGGTGTGCACCACCACGCCCAGCTTGCAGTGTCACTCTTCTTAGCAGCCTCTCCCTTCTCATCACAGGCCTGCAGGTCAGAAATCAACATGAGCTAAAATTCAAGAATGCCTACGTTTATAAAGGAAATGGCTAAATTGTACATAGGTAAAGAGTGAGAGGTCACAAATACAGGCTGCACTACGAAACCAGGAAGATTAAAAAACAAAACAAAAACACTTTGCAAAAATCAAAACAAATCAAAAATAAACCTTTGCTAAAATACTTATGCTATTAAAAGAACCAGAAAGGCAGGGGGAAAAATAAACCCTGTGGTAAATTTTGACAGAACTCAAATGTGCAGAAGAGTTATTACAAAGCAAATACTATAAACACCAAAATTCTTGCTCTGCAAATAACTGTGAAACAGACACGCTTACCAAAATGGTACATTATCACGGTTTTGAGTAGGACAGTCCATATGTGCAGAGAATAATCCTACATGATGCATAATCTTGGTATTTATCTATTTTACTCTTTCATGTTAGGTAAAAAATTATTCTGCACTCTATCCTGCATATGAAGAGAACAAACTAACATGAGAAATATGTACACTGCTGTGTGCAGAATTTAGAGGAAGAAGTAATCTCCCTCACAAAGGACCATGGGAGTGGTAACAACTGCCCAGAACAAATGGAAGGATTTCACCGGGATTCTTTCTAAGCAAAGGAGAGACCTCAGAGAGAAACAAGGTCTAAGACATACCTGGACCCAATGGCCATCAGTTTGCAGCACCCTGGGGTCCTTCCTATCAGGAGGAACAGGAATCCTGGCACAGGCTGGCCTTCACAAAACAAGTGGAGTCTTTTAACTCAAGCAAATACACAGCCAGTGAGGTACAAGCCCCGGGACTGGAGAGAACAGCTTTGGGCAAAGGAGACCAGAGACCTGCTAACCCCTGAAACATCCTATGACCACAAGCATTATTTTGCCAAGAACTTCACAGTATAGAGGGAAAACGTTTCTTCTTAGCCTCCAAAAGCTAGATGCTTCTTTCTGAATGATGAAAAGCAGGACTAGGATGATACTACTCGCTCTGGAAAGAAAAGTAAAAACCAGGGGAAGCACAGAGCCTACTGGGAGTGTTCAGGGGCGAGCTCACTTAAATAAACTGCACTGCTTAATGCAAGGAGCCTTCCCTGGCACTCCTGACACTCAAGCCAGGTGACTCTCACATGGCCGACTTTTTAACAGCACCCCTGACTTCTGGTCCCCAGATGTCAGTGCCCTCCCCCCCAGTTGTGACAACCAACAAGTCTGTACACATTGCCAAATATCCCTCCGAGGACAGAACTCTCTCTAGGTGAAAACCAATAGTCAAATGAACACAGACTACTGGAAAGAATATTGGAAAGCTTGGCACTCTTCAAATCCCAGTGCCATCAACTCCCAGCTACTGGACTGTGAGCACTTACTGAGATTTCCCAAGCCTGTCCCCTCTGCAAAACAGGGACAGGGAAACTGCCCCAAGAGAACTACTGAAACACTTAAAAAGACAGCATCTGAATGAATAGGTACTTTGTTAGAAGTGACAGCAATCAGTGCTTCACAGAATAATTTCGAGAACTCTGCTGAGGAATGTAACAGTCATTTCTCCATCAAAACATGGTGCCATAAAAGGACAATACAGAGCTCTGACCCTGTGCCAGGGTCCCACAAGAGCAATGTGACAGCACAGGGTGGCCTGCCAGCAGCACTACCAACCGTGCTCTCAAGTCTATGTGAAGCCTTTGGTGTTTCTGTAACACACTGAAGATGTCGAAAACTTGAAGCACCCCAGAAATGCCTTTTAGGTAGAGTGACTGGCATTCACACAGTGTTTTTTTTGAACCAAACTAGTGACTCAAGCAACCTCAGATCTGAGGTCATTTCTGTTGTGTCTCTGGCCCCAGCACACTGCCTGGTGCATGTATCTAGATACATTCATGGCGTCTAACTCAAGACTGCAAATGCAGCTGAAGGACTAGTGAACACCCTAAGGCAATACTGCACAGCCACCAGAGAGGGGCAGCATTGTGTAAAAAACAGTCTCCAGACTCTTCATTCAAGGTAAACACAAGTTCCAAAGGAATGTAAGTACTGCAATGGGCTTGGTATTTCTAGATAGGCCAATAACTCAAAATGAAATACCTATCAATAAGGCAGTGTGCTGTTTCCAAGGGAACCAGGCTAAAATATAATGTAGGACTGTACTTCTGCCCCTAACTACCACCTAGCTTCACTGCATCAAGGCGCTCCCAAGTTGATGTCTGTCAATGCTGAGTTGTCTGCACCTGTGTTTCTTTCCCAGAGAAGCCAGTGCGTAAAAGGATGCTGGGAGAGAACCCCTCAGCCTCCCCCCCCCTTGTCTGTCCCACAGTATCAGGGTCCATTACCATCCCCAAGCTCTACAAACTAAATATCATTTTCAGAGGACACAGACTACCACGGCATTCAGCGCAGGTAGAGGGAGCACCGCCCAGCTCCAAAAGCCACTTGGACACGGGATTCCTCAAACACTGCCACAGGAAACGCTCACCTAACTCCTGCTCCTTGATAGTCAAAGACTTAGAAGCACAGAAAAGTAAAGGCACAAGTAAACTCAGAGATCATCCGATTCAGCCTAAACCACCTACCTGCGTTTAAGTCCTGGCTTTGCAACTTTCCTGCTCTGACTTTTAAGTCTCAATTCTCTCACATACTAAATGTGGAAAAATAATGGTCCTTACAAGTTTTGCTCTTTTTGGATTCAGAACTGAGGTAGAATAGTAACAGTAATGTGAAAATAAGCTACAGAAGAAACGAGGGGGAGGGGAAGACTGCCAAACCCTTGGAACAAATTCGCCTAGGTATTTACTAGCAACCTAATTCAACAATTTATTAAAGTCAGTGTGTTTGTTATTTACAACTGGAGGGGAGGGTAAACCGGGGATTGAACTCATGACCTCACACTTGCCAAATGCTGCTGAGCTAAATTCCCAGCCCCTGTTATTTACCATTTAAGGAAATTACCTGGTCCTACTAACAGGACATGAAAAACTTATCCTTCCCCTCTACTTGTGTTTAGCAAACAGACAAACTCCCTAGGTGGGCTAGGGGATTTCACAGGGTTTCTGAAAAGTTAGAGCTGACCTTAAACTTTCAAAACTGTGAATAACCAACAAAAAGACCAGAAAAGAAAGGCAAAGGAGGCAGGAAAGGCCACCAAGGGCCACCAGGAGGCAGTTGCTCAAGGACAAGGGTACTCATTTTATCAGTGCGGCAGAGACTCAACCTGTTCTTCTTCATCCTAAGGACAGAATCTGTCTAAGGCTGAGAAATAAATTTGTTTTGTTTTCCTAGAGATCTTTGATGATTACCAATGAAATGTTTTTGTTGACTTACATATCTAGTCTGGGTGCTTCCCGGGACCTCTTTTTTTTTTTTTTTAAAGGATCGGTCTTAATATCCTTGGGGAAATGTCTTACTGGAATATTAAATCACAATATGCAGGGGAGTGGGTGGGAAGTAGAACAGGCAGAGGAACCAAGAGGGGTTCCTAAGCCAGTGTCCCTAGGCCAATGGGGAGGGGGGTATTTTAAACCTGCCCAGGCCACGCCTAGCCCTCCACTGCTGTCACACAGACAGGTACTGAGGGTGACTTCGCCAGGGGGTATATTATGGGATTATCAAATTAACAATTTTGTGAAGCAAGAATGACCTGCTAAGAGACAACAGGAGAACTTCTTTAAATTTTTAATTTATTTATGGGATATTTAAAATTCTAATAATGCAAGGCCTGGTCTGAAAGTCATGTGAAACTGGGCCCAAAATTTTGCTTTATAAGCCAATGTAGGCAGAGGAAAGAAATCTGGGGAGCGAGTGTTAGGGGCTGACATTCGCATGCAGTGTGGTTAAGAAGCTCACTTGTGCAGAAACTTGCTGTGTATTCCCACAGCACATCAATAATAGCCAAATAATGGAATCTACCTAAGGGTACACCAACAAATGAACAGATAAAGATTTTTTATGGGCATGTATGCACGTACATACACATACAGTAGAATACTATTCCGCCTCAAAAAAGGAAGGCAATTCTGTCTTTTGTGACAACACCAACAGAACTGGAGAGTGACACAGAAAGTACAGTCAGCCACAGAAAGACAAATACCACATGTTCTCATTATATTTAGAACCAAAAATAATCAGACTCACAGACACAGAGCTGAATGGTGGTCACAGTGCCTGAAGGACAGGGAAATCTGAAAGATGGTGGTTCAAGGGGTACAAAATCCCAGAAAGATAAGGTAGGGTTTTTTGGAGGGTGGACATTGCAGTTGGTGATCACAGGAAATTACAATGTATCATATATTTCAAAATTGCTGAGACTAAACTTCAAATGTTCTCATTACAAAAACTGATAACTAATTTAATTGATGGACATTAATTTGCTTGATTTATTTTGCTTTATATCCATAAATCAGAACATTACTGTGCAGTCTGTAAATATATACGAGTATATAAACTGTCAACTTACAATAAAATAATTACTTTTTAAATGGAACAAGGTAGTACCCTCAAAGTTCATCATCCTGATTGTGACTGTTAGTACTAGGTGTCTGGGTGGATTAGCACATTCCCACTGGCTTGAACTGCTGCAGGTACATAAGGGTCTAATCACTATTACCGCACTGAGTTTTTACTAATAAAATTAATTAAGAGCTGCTCCATGGGACAGTCGTACATGCACCAGCAGGGGTTCAAACGTCCTAGCAGCAAGACACACAGATTATGTCCTCACCATGACGGTGTCAGGGAGTAGCTAGCAGAGCACTCTCTCTGAGGAAGTCTGAGGGAGCTAGGGGCAGAGATGTGAACCCATGGCTGAACAAGGAAGACCCATCCTCAAGCAGGTAAGCACCATCTAACCAACTGGGGCCCACACAGAACAAAAGCGAGGAAAAAGGCAGGGCGTGATGAACTGGGATGCCCTCCTCCTGCCCTTAGGCATCAGAAATACAGCTTTTCTGGCAAAGCTTTAGACGCCACAAATCACAAGCAGGGAGCCCCAAA